GAACACAGGCAGATCACTACTAGTCCAATCTACGTAGTGAGACCCGGTAGACCCTGCAGACCCTGTAGTCAACAATAACAAATGCTGGAAGGGCTGTAAGGAAAAAGAAATCCTTCTCCACTGTTGTTAGAAGTGTAGGCTGGTACAACCACTATAGAAATGAGTGTGGAGATTCCTCAAAAAATTAGGATTAGAGGTTCCGCTTGACCCAGCTACTCCCCTTCTGGGTATTTTCCAAGAAGAAATGAAAACATCATACCACAGCTATATATGTTTATAGTAACACAATTTGTAGTAGCTAATTCTTGAAAACAACCCAAATATACATGAACAGAGGATTGGAGGAAAAAAGACATGGTACTTTCATGCAATGGACTATTACCTATTAAGAAACATAAACTCGAGGCTTTCATAGGTAAATGGATACAACTAGAGACCATACTCATAAGTGAAATAAATCAGACTTGCATGTATATATATTGTATTGTCTCCCTAGTATAAGAAACTGAAAGAATAAATAAGATGCAAAAGGCTTAACAGATATTGTGAAAGGGAAACTGCTCAAAAGGAAAGAACAACTAGAATGGGGGAAAGGAGAAGAGAAAGGGGGAAGGGAAAAATAAAAATTTTTTTAAATTATATATAAGAGCCAGCAAGATAGCTCAGCAGACTAAGCGACTGCTTAGGCAAGCACAGGGACCCAGGCTCAATACCTGGCACCACATGCCACGCCAACCACCCTCCGTGGCACACTGAGCCAGCCACCAAGTCTGGGCATGGTGGCACATGCCTATAATCCCAGCACAGGGGAGTCTGAAAACAAGAAGTTCACTACAACTCCAAGATGCATAGTGAGACCCTGTACCAAATATATTTTAAAAAAATCAAGAATAAACTGTTGTTTTACGCAACCAGTTTGTGGTTTGAGCAACCCCAGAAAATTAATGTATCATCTTGGTCACCATATTGGAGAAATGTAAAAGGAGAGGGGACAGGTCAGGGGGCCCAGGAGCTGGGACTTTTTAGACTAATTTGGGCGGTTCACTATCTCTTAAAGGATAAAGGAGGAAATGGATTCGAAAATGTCCACAAGGGTTCTCCTCAGGCGTCCAGCAAGAGCAGGCTCCTTGCATAGCCCATTGAGACGAAGACTCACTCTCTGGAGTCATGTCTCTGCTCCTAGTGGAAAGGAAGATGCTAAAAAAGCAAGTATAGAAATGAACAGTCTAGGGCTGGTGAGGTGGCTCAGTGGTCTAAAGCACCTACTTAGAACAAGCTAAGCTAAGCAAAAGCACAAGGACCGCGGTTCAATCCCCAGCACCACATGCCAGCCAGCCCCGCCCCCCGGTGGGCTGAACTGGCCACACACAAAAAAATAAAAATAAAAAATTAATTAATTAATTAATTTCAAAAAGTTATTTAAAAAAAAGAAATGAACAGTCTAATTAAATAAATACACATCTTATGTCATATGCCAACACATCACAGAGATTAAAACGTGAAGGGCGGCAAAAGATAATTGGATATAACTAATACACTGTTCTAGATGAGAATCAATTCTGTTTCTCTCAGAATTTCTAAGAATGAAAATGCTTCTCCCACAGGGCTGATGGTGTCGCTTAGTAGTAGAGGACCTGCCTGACTTCTGCGATGCCCTAGATTCCATCCCCAGCACCACAAAAAAATTAAGGAAAATTAAATAACCGCTTCACCCGGCTAAGGTCACAAGTTATACTTAGAACCCTGCGCGGGAATGGGAACAGGAAATCCCCCAAGTAAATGGGAGTCTAGCTGGCTTCCCTACTTAAGTAACTGACGCTTTGTTAGCTTTCTGAGAATTGAACGCACCAGCATAAAACTAATTTTGATATAATTAAAATACACTAATTAAACACAAACTATGAGCCTTGGTTCTTAGGAGAAATGATGCACTAATCTAAAATCTTAAGCCCAACAATGTAGCGGAAGGAATATTTTTAACTAAAAACATCTTTTAGAAGAATCACAATTTAGATTTAAAAAGCTGACAAATCATACTCTCAAAACAAGCTGAAATTGATTTGTGTAGAGGGTAAGAACTAAAACCCCAGGGCGTCTTAGGTGTATCAGAAAATTCTAACATATTGGAATACTACTGCCTTCAACCACTAAATTTAGAAAACTACTGCAGTTTCACATATATATTTTTCTGTGCATTGGCAAAGGAAAATTAAATAAATTTTATTTTACTTTTAGAATATTTTGCTGAGTTTACACACCTATAATATTCAACAACGGAACTTAAAAAAATTGGGGTATAACTATGAATGTCCATTTTGTAT